TGCAATATTTCTAAGCCTTTGCACTCGAAGCCATTTTAATTGTAAATCTAAATTAACTTTTCTAACTTATAGGATTTCCATTTTATATGCCAAAATCTATTTCATGCATATGAAATTGAGTCTTATGACTCATATAGCAGTTAGACTTTTAACAATCTTTTCTATCTAAACTCTGGTAATGTAAAAATTATCTTGGCACGTGGTGTAATAATTTTAGTCAGGATCACCACTCGAGTGCAAAGGGTTAACATCTCCTACCATAACGGAGTCACGACAGACTCCAAATAAAGAGTGCAAAAAAGAAACGTGTCGCTTTAATTCCAAATAAACGCTGCACTCGCATCTTATTTTTAGCTAACGCATAAAACACCGAGGAAAATAGAATCTTTATCACAGAATGAAGTAGATAGACGGTCGGGGTCATTCCTGGCCCAATTACGAAGAAGTATTAAAAATTTCCGCGCGTATTTCCGACAATTTCCGACGTTTAGAACAATCGTTAATAGCTTCCCATCCGCAATATTTTTAACATCTCCTACTATAACAGAGTCACGACAGACTCCAAATAAAAAGTGCAAAAAAAGAACGTGTCGCTTTAATTCCAAATAAACGCTGCACTCGCATCTTATTTTTAGCTAACGCATAAAACACCGAGGAAAATAGAATCTTTATCACAGAATGAAGTAGATAGACGGTCGGGGTCATTCCTGACCCCATTACGACAAAGTATTAAAAAGCGCCGCGCGTATTTCCCGACGATTTCCCATTCACTGGACACATTCCATGGCTCCGGTCTCCCTCTAATCGAGCCGACATTCTTGAAACAATTCCGCGAACCGGCCTGATTTTTACCGTGAAAATTGTTGAACCGTACCGCGGCCGCCGACGGGAGGCAGCGGTTACGGCACAAGCAGCGCTGAAAAATACGAATGTATTTGCGCAGGCGGTTCGCTGTCGTACCAGGGATTTAAATTAAGCCGTGAGATCGGCGAACGGAAGAGCGCGCGGGAAGCTTTTAAAACGTGTCCCGAAGTTCGGCCGCGCCGCGCGGCCTGTCCCGCGCGCCGTCCCCGTCCGTCCCCGTCCGTCCCCGTCGTCCTAACGAATTCCTGTTCCCGGTTTAATAAATATTTAATAAAGTAGCGGCGGAAATAAAATGGTCGCCGGGAAAATACTTCGGGACCCGACGGTTAATGCCGTACTTTAATATAGGTAAGTCCCAAGTTAAGCTCCTTACGGATGACGATACGATTAGTACGGTTGGTCGAGCTAATTGCCTTCGCGCTGATGGGAACCGAATCGAATAGAACCCGGCAATATGAGCGGGAACAATCATCGATCGGAGTTTTTCTTCGCCCTATGGCCTGTGGCCCGATCGGCCCGCGGGGGCCCCGCGGGGGGGCCCGTCTGCCTGCCTCTCCTCTGCACGCGCGACAAAGATTACCGAATTCAATGTGACGAGCCCGTGGGTGACATCGTTCCTCGCGCGCGGATCGATTCCTCCGCTGCGATTACAATGTAAACAGGGGGATTTTCATGGGCGTGTGCCGCGACCACGCGTCAATTTTTTTCAGATCCGCGCGGAACAATACAGGTACGTATAACCCTCGAATAACACGGTGTTTGCGTTACCCGGAGATCCGTATCGCAGTCAAAAACTCCAATGACCCTTGTAAAACGGAGTGGCCCCGTGTGTGCGTGTGTGTGTGTCACGCGGTTTCTATAAACACTTTCTTCGTAATTGCTAACCTGTTAACCCGAAAGGTTTTTCGAACGCCGACGCTTCGCGTGAACGCAATTAACACGCTCGCCGCGGGGACAAACACTCGAGAAATGCTCACAAAGTCGTAACAACGAACGATGGAATACGCGATAGGTTGATATTTATCTGATTTATGTCGGATCGATGGCGGGGCGAGTTTTCCGCTTGAGTTGCAACTAGACCGCGGATTTTTATGCGACGCGAAGAATCTCCGCATCGATTGCAAGAGATAAGAGACTAATTCGGCAAGTTCGTCCTTTCTTGAATCGATTTTATATCATTTTATCATCGTTTTGATATCGTTTTAATATATATATATATACTTTTGATTTAAAATTAAATTATATATATATATAATTTAATTTTAAATCAAAAGTGACAGATTGATTAATATTCCTTCGATCTTTATAGCATTTTAAATTGTAAATAGAATAATGTCTCTCTAATTAAATCTAATTGAATCTCCGCATCGATTGCAAGAGATAAGAGACTAATTTGGCAAGTTCATTCTTTCTTGAATCGTTTTTATATCATTTTATCATCGTTTTGATATAGTTTTAATATATATATATAATTTAATTTTAAATCAAAAGTGACAAATTGACGTTTTATAATATTCCTTCGATCTTTATAGCATTTTAAATTGTAAATACAGTAATGTCTCCCTTATTGACGCTCAGATTATCCACAAAAGTGGACAATTTTGAAAGAGAAGATACGATTGTTCGAGCCTTGTTGCTCGTTTTTTTATGGTTATCGATTGTCAACAACTATAAAAACGAGTCGCAAGGCTCGAATAATCGTGTCTCCTCCTCCCAAATTGTCAATTTTTGTGCACAACCTGAGCGTCAGTAAGGGAGACATTATCGTACCCAATTTCGGCCATAAATGCATCAAATCCGCAGCCTGGTTGTAACAATGGCATTGTTGTAAATTAATTAGCATCAAGACCTATAGCTGAAAAGTAATAGAAGGTCTCTTCATAATTTTTATGTGAATATAAATTTTTATGAAAAAAGAGAAGATCATAAAATTAAATTCTAGTGATTGAACTGCGGATTTTATGCACTTGCGACGAAAAAAAGTTAGGCGTAGTTTAAAGTAGTAGAAACGGATAAAATGATAATAAAATAATGTAATAATAAAAGAGTTGCGTTTTTGAGCCATATTTGTTAAAAATCTATCAGATCATTAGTTCGAGTGATTATAAGAGATCAGCGCTTTTGGCATCGATGAGTCATAAATACATTAATAGACTTGCAGCCTGCAGTCCGGTAACAGATTTCACTTAAAGAGTAGATTTATTAAGCTTGTTTCACACAAATAAACAGCGAAATAAACATGTCATCCTTAATCCAAGTACATGTACAAGCTCTCATTTCTACGTGTAGAATCGCCACGAGTCAAGCATCAACAACATCTCCTGTATGCATACTATTTATTTCAGTCCATTGACGTACGACTGTTCTTCGGGGAATTACAATAATTAAAACTTCTTGAACAGTGAAACTTCGTTCTCTCGCCATCGATATTTAAACCTTAATAGACGGCGAATATAAATTGTCAAAGATAAAGATAAAGTTAAGTTAACAGTTTGAATTAATAGTTAACTCTCTGAAAAAAAAAGTTAGCAAAGTTCAAAGATAAAGAACATGATATCACTTCGACTTAATACTAGGTTTACGGTGCGCTGAAAGCAGACGTTTTAGTAATCTTTATGATAGTGATCTGTGTCATAATATATAGGGTGTTCATTTGTAAACTTTAAATCCAAATACATATTCTCGAAACCGACATATTTTTAGGAAAAATATTAAATAGAAAAGTGACTCGATTTCAAGGAGGAAGTAGAACTATTTTATTAATTTTTTGTTGTCGACAGCTTCAGAGGTTATTGTTTATGAAACGAGAAACTGTTGCAGTTCCTGAGATAAAATGACAAAAAGAATAAAAGAAAATAAAGAAGTTTCATAAGTAAACAAATTTCTCATTTAATTAAACATCCTGGTAAGATAAAATCTGACTGAAAAATATTGACAAAAAATTAAATCCTTCGTCACGTAGAATAAAGATCTGCCAACGACAATATAGGTTTCCATTTAAAGACTACGATTAATAAAACAGTTGTATTTCCCCGTTGAAATTGAGTAACTTTTGCATTCAACATTTCGCCTGAAAATGCATTATCTTCGAAATATTTAGATTTCACGTTTCGAAATGAACAATCGGTACGTGCAATGAAACAAAATTAACGTACAATAAACATATCGTTCCAATTTCAATAATTGTAAATCAAGACATTGAATCAAGAACGCGTCGAAACGACGTAAACCTAGTGCAAAAATAAACGAATACAGTAATGTCTCCCTAACTGACGCTCAGATTCTGCACAAAAATGGGCAATTTGGGAACAGGAGATACGATTATTCGGGCCTTGCAGCTTGTTTCTATAGTTCTATAGTTATAGTTATATAGTTATAGTTATAGTTATATAACTATTATAGTTAGTAAGTTATATAACTATTATAGTTATATATTATAGTTAGTAAGTTATATAACTATTATAGTTATTATAGTTATATATTATAGTTAGTAAGTTATATAACTATTATAGTTATTATAGTTATATATTATAGTTATTATAGTTATTAAGTTACATAACCATAACTATTATATAACTATATTATATATATAGTTATAGTTCTTCTATAGTTCTTGACAATTCGAAACTATAAAAACGAACCTTTTCCCAAATTGTCCATTTTCGTAGACAATCTGAGCGCCAGTTGAAGAGACATTACTGTAATTTGTACCCTTGTTTCGTACGAAATGCTCATCGCAAACGTTGCTAACCTCGTTATAAATAATAATTCGAGATTAAATGGCGATCTTTTCATCTTGTAAAACTTGAACGCGAACACACGGGGGAAGGAGATATCAGGAAACGTTCTCGTCGCCGCGACTTTCCTCCGAATTTTGAAGTTGAGAAGGTACTTTACTTTCCCGAACGATTCGAAGACTTAAAACTCCGGGGCCAAGGGGGCCAGATACAATCGCGAATTTATGGGTCGCCAAAGGTACACCGGATAATGGAGAGCTTCCACCGATCGGGAGCCCTCCCCTTTCCCTGTCCGCGATTTCCACGATTTCCACGAATTCCACGATCTCCTCCCGATTGTCGGTTCACATTCGCGAGCAAGATGAAAAGACGGAGGAACGAGCTTAGAAAATGCCTTACCATGAAGTAATGCCTCTGTATCTCGGTCTTCTCGCTGGCCAGCTTCTCGCATTCGATCTTCAGTCTGAAAAGTGAAAAGCGATTGAGGACGGAACGAATCGGACATGCGTTAAAGCGGAGACGGCGCAACCGCGTGGTACGCGCGTGTGCGTTTTCTGCATGTATACGGTGTTCATCTTTTCGGGGTCCGCGCCTCTTTCCAGCGTTTCTCATCGTTAAAATCAACTCCGACCACCGAGGGACTTTCCTCGGACACGCTAACGAGGAACGCTGTTTAACCGATGACAAAATCGCGCCCCGATCTTTTCACACAGAACGAAAGTATAAAATTCACAAAAATGTCGATTAGAAGCGCTGTCTGGTCCGACCCCGAGAGATCGACGAAGAAGAAAGGAACAATAAATGCGCCGACTTTTCTTTGGAGATTTAGTTCACTTTTTGCCGACTTTTCTTTCATATTATCTATACGTTATCGCAAATCTCTGTTGTTATTTACTACGATCTATTAATTTTTCATTACATACGTTCTACGATTTAACCCTTTGCACTCGAAGCTATTTCAACTGTAAATATAAAATCATTTTTCTAACTTACGGCATTTCTATTTTTTATATGAGAAAATGCATTTTATGCATACATGAAAATCAACTCTTGGGACTCGCGCAACAGTTACGCTCGTAACAATTTTTTTCAAATGTAGACTTTGTTAATATCAAAATTATCCTAGAAGGTGATATAACAAATGTTAGCGGTGCCTCAGAGTCGCCACTCGAGTGCAAAGGGTTAATTTCACGCAAAGAGATGCGTATCTTTGGATCGGTCTCTCAAGGACGGACCAGATCTCTGTTGCATTTTTAACCCTTTGCACTCGGGTGGTGACTCTGAGACACCGCTAAAATTTATTATGTCACGTTCTAAGGTAATTTTTAAATCGACAAAGCTAAGATTCAAAAAATTCTTGGAAGTGTAAGCGTCGTACAAGTCGCAAAACTGAACTTGGTATGCATAAAATGCATTTGGTCATATAAAATAAAAATGCTGTGAGTCAGAAAAATGATTTTAAATTTACAGTTAAGACAGAGCTTCGAGTGCAAAGGATTAATTCACATGTTCGAGATCTTCGCAGCGTAAACTTTCGATCTACGTGTAAACAACAGATCCGCGCGATCTCGCGATCGGTTGAACACCGCTTCCTTGCAAGCCCGTCGAACAAGGCCGAACGCGCCCATCGTTCTCGCTCGACGATATTTTTCGTTGGCTCGTTTACGTACACGCGGGTAATTAAATGCGTTTAATTAAATTATAATATTTGTACACGTGCAAATTACACCGTATCCACGTTCACGCCGGGCACCGATCGCGGCGGGATTGATTTCATCGAATTTTAATTGCCCCCGCGCGGCGGCGGCCATTGTTTCATCGGGGTCTATCTATCCGCGAGCGCATCCCATGCGCGCGATCCCGGAAAGAAACGCGCGCTTCCGAATATTATTTCTTCCAGCGGATTGTTGGAAAATTTAATTTGCCGCGCGAACGTGGTTCACCCGTGTTCGAGCTCGCTGCGTTTAAACCTCCGCGCGCACGTAACAAACGGTAAATTAACAATTAATTAAAACGCGCCGACGAAACGTCGTCGACCGCTTCGAGCTCTGTTCGATCGAGGTTAAAAAAAGGCGTTTTTTTTCTACGATTCGAGGCGCGCGCGCGGACTCTGCACGATGAACACCCTGTACACGTCCGTCGTTGTTCGCGCTTCCACAGGGTGTCTCAAAAATGTCTCGCAATCCGAAAGTAGCGGGTTCCTCGGGTCATTTGAAGCAACTTTTTCCTTCACAAAAATTTTCTCCGAGGCACCGTTAACGAGTTATTAACGAAAAACAGTGACCAATGAGAGGCGAGCTCAGCTGGCGCGAGGCGACCGAGCCAATCAGCGGAACTGGGATTCGACCGCTCGACCGCTGGCGCCGTTGGCTCGGCCGCCTAGCGCCAGCCGAGCTCGTCTCTCATTGGTCACTGTTTATCGTTAGTAACTCGTTAACGGTGCCTCGGAGAACATTTTTGTAAAGAAAGAAGTTGCTTCAAATGATCCGAGGAACCCGCCATTTCCGGATTGCGAGACATTTTTGGGACACCCTGTAGATGGAGGCAAGCACGCCGAGCGAGAAGACGTCTGCGTTCTCCTTTGAGATTCGCAACATCTCTCGCATTCGAAGGAAAAGAGCGCGCGCGGGCTCTGTCTCTGGAAGCAAGATCGAGTTCTCCGGCGAAAATGCTGCGGGAATAAAAAGAAACGAGATTATGGCGGTGTTAGTGGTGCGCCGCGAGCAGGGAACGGGAGAAGTATTGGAGGACTGTATGGTATTTCGGTAAATACGCTCATTCCGCGTATTATATTCGTGCAGAAAAATCGCGCGCAGACCCATCGCTGGGAAATAAAAATGACTTCGAACTCATTACACGTGGAATTCTCATTTCGTCTAAATTAAACTCTCTTTTAAGGTCTCTCTCTCTCTCTCTTTCTCTCTCTCGCTCTCTCTCGAGACTTACGAGTTTCTGTTCGAGCAACCGAAACTCAAAATAAATGAACGGAAACGTCGAGACACCAGCTGGCCGCTCTTGAACAACTTGCCAGAAAAACAACGAGATCCCGTGCGTCTTCCCTCCTTCTCTCTCTCTCTCTCTCTCTCTCTCTCTCTCTCTCTCTCTCTCTCGTATATAAAACGACAATTGGCGTTTATTTCATTTCGAAAAGAAAAAGATTACACACACGTTCGGCACCGATACCGGGAACTTTCAAATCATTAGCCGGCGCAGTGTTTCTTCGAAATAATAATTCGATCCTTTTTAAATGCTGATCACGCCCGATAATTTATGCGTCCACGTTCGCCGTAATAATCGAACATCTGTAACGTAATTCAATAACCGGACAATACCCGTTGCGTGGAGCAATGAAAAAAAATCATTTACCAAAATTCCATTTGCAAACGAAGCCGAAAACGCTGCTGAACTGATTCCGAAATTGCTTCGAGAAACTCGATTAAAGCGTTCCCGCGGTTCCCCGTCGTTGCCGTTCCCTTTTTTAATTCCTTCTTTTTTTCTTCTTTTCCTTTCGGTGGGAAACACGCGATTATAATTTAACAATCCGGAGAGAGAGAGCAGGAAGGGCGAGAGAGAGAGTGAGAGCGAGTGAGAGATCAGAGAGTGCGGAAAAGAGCGAACGAGAGAGCAGAGAGTGCGAGAGAGAGAGAGAGAGAGAGAGAGCAAAGAGTGCGAGTGCGAAAGAAAGAGCGAGAGCGAGAGCGAGAGAGAGAGAGAGGAAGAGAAAGAGTGCAAGAGCGATAGAGAGAAAGAGTACGAGAGAGAGAGAGAGAGAACAGAGAGAGTGAGAGGGAGAGGGAGAAGAGAGTGCAAAAAAGCGTGAGAGAGAGAGAGCAGAGAGTACGAGAGAGAAAGAGAGAGAGAGAGAGAGAGAGAGGAAGAGAAAGAGTGCAAGAGCGATAGAGAGAAAGAGTGCGAGAGAGAGAGAGAGAAAGCAAAGAGTGCAAGAGAGCAGAGAGAGAGAGAGAGAGAAAGCAAAGAGTGCAAGAGAGCAGAGAGAGAGAGAGAGAGAGAAAGCAAAGAGTGCAAGAGAGCAGAGAGAGAGAGAGAGAGAGAGAAAGCAAAGAGTGCAAGAGAGCAGAGAGAGAGAGAGAGAGAGTGAGAGCGAGAGAGAGAGAGAGAGAGAGAGAGAGAGCGGAGTCCGAAAACTACCACCGAAACTCGTTGTTAAACTACCACCGGACAGAAATATCTTGACCGCGAGCGTTGCCAGGCTAGAATGTAACAGCGGCGTTAACAGCGAAGCGCAAATTCGGCCGTCCACCTAACGGTTTCAACGGGTATCGCGGCGCGCAAGATAATTAATGATACGTAAACGCAGACATTTGTACACACGGTCCTATTTCGGCGAGCGGGCTCGAAAGTGAGCGTCGCTCCAATAACGCTAACCGTTACAGCATCAGCTGCGTCTGGATACAACTTGCCGCAACGGCAATTGATAACCGTCCGACCGATAATCAATTACCATAAATCGCCGACATCCCGACGCGCCGTCGCGGCTCCTTCCTTTTGTCGTCTGCGCAAATCGCTCGTTTTTACGGGACGGACTCAGGTGAGCACGTTCTATCCGCAAACAGTCATCAATCCGACAATTAATCTTGTCGGATGAATGGGAAAATAACCGGCGAGTATAAGAAACATCTGTCCGGCTAACGGCGCGTAACGGAGTTCCGGAGGAAACTCTTTACAAGTAAATTCTCCCTAATTCGCGATCGGATCGTGCACAAAAATCGACTACATATTTCGGAGGAGGAGATGCGATTATTTTATGTACAGTAAATTCTCTCTAATCGACGCTCAGATCGTGCACGAAAACGGACGATTTCGGAAGAGGAGATACGGTTATTCGAACCTTGCGGCACATTTTTATAGTCGTCGATTGTCAACGATTATAAAAAAAGAGATGCAGGGCTCAAATAATCAAGAGAGAGCAAAGAGTGCGAGTGCGAGAAAAAGAGCAAGAACAAGAGAGAGAGAGAGAGATGGGGGGAGAGAAAGAGTGTAAGAGCGATAGAGAGAGAGCAGAGTGTGCGAGAGTTTTTGTTCTTTTTTGTATGCAATCTGAGCGTCAGTTAGGGAGATATTACTGTACAAGGCTCGAATAATCGTGCATCCTCTTCCCAAATTGCCAAATTTTGTAAGTATTTTAAGTATTTTAACGATCTGAAAATGGTTTTCGCGACCCAGATTCCCCCCTTTTTGTTTCAGAACGTGACACACCACCGTAATTCGATGATAGTTTCCTGCATGATCCCACTAAACTAACTTAGCACAGTCGAGTAGTGTTGCAATTGTCCTTGCAATTTTGATATTACTTATTAATGCGATGGAAATCGGTGAAACAAGTAACTGTGGTTGCAAAAGTCAACGTCGAAACTATGAAACATTTGTACGAATGACGTATAATAATAATAATAAAAGTAATAAAAATAATAATAATAAACGAATATAAAGACTGTTAACGGTCCGACCGAAATGCTTCGCGAAATGCGCATAGTCGTCGCGAACGTGGCCGTTGAAGTTGTCTAAACCAACAACGAAACGTGATAAAATCTCTAAAATTATGCAAAAGCCTCCGTCGCCTTAATTAAATAAAATTGATGATAGAGGAAAATTGTTGAAACGACGATCTCTGAAGAACAAGAATGCAAAATTCAATTCTGCAAAGATTGATTTAGTTAGAATTCCACTGACAACATTTTCGACGTTAGAAACAAATCAGTCCTGTCGATTTTCAAGATTTTCAAGATTTTCAAATATTTATCGGGTAATTCGCACGATACAATTTTAATTTATCCGAAATAAGAAAATGCGAGAAAACAGGAGTTTCGGAAACCTTGAAGCGTAAAGACGTTCTAAGTGATTATATAAGGTAATCGAGGACATCTCGAGTGTCGGATCCATTGGCCAAGTTTCCGAAATGGAAAACTATCGGCTAAACGACAGCCGTCGGACAGCTACGCGACGCCCGAAAGGAAACGGGCACGTAACCGTCGGATAACCCGTTAAGTAACTACTAGATATCCATTAGCACTTCGTGACACGCGGTTCAAACAGAGCCATTACGCTCCTCTATGTCAACTCATGGAAATACTTTTGATTGTTTGCATTACATAAATATCAATACGGTCGCCGTGTGGTTTGAAAATTTTACGCACACTTACGACGATTATACAGGGTGTCCCAAAAATGTATCGCAATTCGGAAACGAGGGATTCCTGAGGTTATTCGAAGTAACTTTTTCCTTTGCGAAAATGCGATCCGCGGCTTTGTTTACGAGTTATTAACGAAAAACAGTGACCAATGAGAGGCGAGCTCTCGCGCCAGCCGAGCCAACGAGAGGTGGAAGCCCAGGACCGCCGGTTGGCTTGGCCGCCTAGCGCTAGGCGAGCTCGCCTCTCATTGGTCAGCGTTTTTCGTTAATAAATCGTTAACAAAGCCGCGGATCGCATTTTCGCTAAGGAGAAAGTTGCTTCAAATAACCCGAGGAACCTCCAATTTCTGGATTGCGAGACATTTTTGGGACACCCTGTATATTGTCACTATTCGCTTATTTGTATCGTGTAAAAATCTACCGAGTTAAAATCTACGCCATTCGAACGAGTTCTAAAGAAAACGCGGTTCATTTCCGTGTCTTTAAGATCGCTGTAATAATGTTTGCTGCGTAATAACGGCACAAGATCAATAATAAGGATCGATGGAAAATTGCATCGAATACCGGGAAGCACAACGCAAGACTTCGACAGTGTCAAAGCAACGATTTCAGTAACGATTTCGTTTCCGAGCAAAACCGCAAATAAATAAAGATTCGCGATGTCTATTATTCGTCTCGGTTCCGCTAAATAAACTGTTCCGGCTCTGCGAGACTTTTGTAGCCAATATGTCAACGATTAAAAATATCTGCGAAGTACGACGTTTTGCCAGTAGTATATTAAAGTTGTCAGCGGACCGTAATGTCAAGGTGTGACGGCATCCGTCCGTCGGTCACGACGACGACGGACGTCGAAATAGACGCGACGCGACGGTGCAGGATATCGTCGGCAGACCACAAAGTGTTAAATAAAAGGGAGACCGCCGCGGTGGAATATTTCGAAAATATTCACGCAACGTTCGCGAAATAAAAAATATCGACGCGTTCACCGGCCAAGATCTATGTTCACGGAACGTTAAAACGCTCGGTTTAAACGTTCGCCGTTTCCACTTTTAATTACTATCTGCCGTCATTTTTTTCATTAAATATATATGTATATAAAAAATTTGTTTTTAAACGTATATTAATCTTTAATAGATCAACACGTTTAATTATTATCTGCCGTCATTTTTTTTCGTTAAATATATATGTATATGAAAACTTAAATAATTTGATTTTAAACATATGTTAATCTCTAAGAGATAGATTAATCTTTAATAGATTAACATATGTTTAAAAACAAATTATTTAAGTTTTAAAAAATGTTAATCTTTAATAGATCAACATATGTTTGAAAACAAATTATTTAAGCTTTTATATACATATATATTTAATGAAATAAGCGACGGTAGA